ATTTTAATTGTTATCGTTATTATTATCGCTATTCGTTCTATCGTCAGTATGGTCCATTCACGAAGCTATCATCAAGTTCTATGTTGATAAACGAAGAGAGAGAGAAAGAAAGAGAGAAAGGGAGAGGGAAAAAGAGAAAGAGAGAGATAGAGTGAGCATAAAGAAGAAGAGTAAAGAAGATAGGACATTAGTGAACGTATATTCGAAGAAAGGTAAAAACCAAAGAATGGTTGAACGTATGTATAGGAGAAAACAAAAGAATGAAGCTTATTAAAATGATCTATGCGCCAAGATAAGATTTGACCTTTTTAGAATTGCGAAGAGCTTTTTTGGCGTTGGCAAATATCTGCGAGAGTTACCTCGGAACATGCATTTTTTGAACAATCGTAAACATTCCATAAACGTGTCGTTAATTGGACATGTCTTAATTTGCAAAAGGATCAATAATCGCAACGAACTGACGGTAGAGGTGGAGGTGGTGGAGAAGCACACACGACATTAATGTCGCAGGAAGTGATGGGTATGCATGAGAGATCACCGAACGATGCTATGTGAACGCGATGTTGTAACGTCGTGGGCGCTGATGGAATGTCTGTGGGAAATGCGTTCTACGATATAACTTAAAGTGCCATTTCATCATATCCAATAAATATTTAATAATAAATACACATTATGTGGGCATGTGCGTAACTTCGTTTTATCGTTTATATAAATGAACATGCAATAATTAAATAATTATCTAATATTTACATTCTTCACGATTAGTGTCAAAGATAAATATATTAAATGATACATTCAAAACACATACAAACATATTGGTTATCTGCATATATTGGCAGTTATTTGTATATATCAAGAATATAATATAAGAATACATTGCTTGTCTATTAGTTAAATATTGGAAATATCGTTGAAGAGTTTTTATTCCATGTACACATTGTGCATGACAAACTGTGCAAGAAGAAATTGAAAGAAAGAAATGAGCCTATAAGGATCAAAGAAGGAAAAAGAGGAAATACTAAAATGAATATTAAACATGGATATTTATGGAAATAAAAGAATTCATTTACAACTGTAAATAAACCAATTAAAACATTATGGCGGATAATCTCATAGGGCCAGATTGGCTCTTTAGAGAACTCAGATCCCAAGATGGTACAAATAGGCTCCTTATTTTAGATTGTAGAGCTCATTCAGATTTTCTGGAAGCTCATGTCAGAGGATCTGTATCTTTGGCTATACCAAGTATAATGTTAAGACGATTGGCTGCAGGTAAAGTAGATTTGATATCAACGATAAGGTGTTTAGACCTAAGAAACAGAGTAGAAGTTTTTCTGCATGGAGATAAGAGTAGTAGAGGAACATTTGTGTTGATTGGAGATTCTACAGATCCTATAGGACACCAGGGTGAGACAATTCAAGTTTTAAATCGAAGACTTAGAAGCAATGGTGGGAGTGTTGCTATACTTGTTGGTAAGTTAAGGCACCACTTATATTCTTATTCTTATCATTTTATTCTTTTCACTTTAAATATCTTTGATTTCATACTTATTATCTCTTTCAGGTGGTTTCATAGCATTTAGAGATAAATATCCAGAATGGTGTGAATGTAGTCAAGCTAATATGGAAGGGTCATCTGGTCAAGACTCTAATGATGGAGAGTTGATGGGTCTCAGATCGCTTAGGATATCAAGTCCACCAATAAGAGCATATTCTGATTCAGATAGTGACAGTACATGCGATTCTGTTGGTATGTATCATTTATTTCTTTTCAAATTTAGAGGAATTATTGATTACAATATTTTAATTTTTTTTTTTGCATATGTTTAGGACCTGAAGAAGATAAAGATTTTCCTGTAGAAATTTTACCTCATTTGTACCTTGGAAATGCAGCCAATAGCGAAGACAAAGAAGCTTTGGCACGACATCGAATACAATACATACTCAATGTAACGCCAGATTTACCAAATGTATTTGAAAGTGCTGGCTCTATAAAATACATGCAGATACCAATAAGTGATCATTGGAGTCAGAACTTAGCCAGTTTTTTTCCACAAGCTATTCAATTTATAGGTAAGTATGCGTTTCGACTCTAAGCAAGATCATTGAAGACTGAAATATTTCAAGATTATGAAATTTTTAGAGGAAGCACGGAGCTCAGACAAAGGAGTGCTGGTTCACTGTTTAGCTGGAGTGTCTCGGTCTGTTACGATTACTGTAGCTTATTTGATGCACAAATGCAGTCTAAGCCTAAATGATGCTTTCAATCTAGTACGTAGTAGAAAATCCAATGTTGCTCCGAATTTTCATTTTATGGAACAACTGCTTAGTTTTGAAAGAGAATTAAGAGATAGGGGAGATAGAAACAAAGGAAATGATCAAAGATGTATTGGTGCCTGCTTACCTGGTAGCACTTGTAATTGTCCTGCACCGAGCTTTTTAAATCCCGTTGATTTGGGTCTTAGTCCAGATTCAGGGATAGAATTTGATAGATGGGCAACTAGTACACCAGCTGAATGAGACAGGCCTGGAGGGACCCAATACAAATTTTAGGTCCCTCCTTGCAAATTATTTATCATGTTAAAAAGGTCCTGATTGAAGGGTATAGGGAAACAAAATAAAAGTTCTACTATGAGAAAATAAGAATTAGAATCTTCAGTATATCTTTATAAATGGTCAAGGAGCATAAATGGAAAAAAAGAAAGAAATATGTTACTCTTCGTTTTTCTTGCAGAGATATTATCTCTATATTTGTCATTTAACCGTCTTAATACTGTTTTCTACCATCTTAAAGGCTTCCTATTATCTTTTTTTTTTTAAATTCATTGAATACAGTGAGTGCTGGACACAAAATGTCTTCTATAATGATAAAATTGACTTTATTCTTTATAAAATTCATTTAAAATTCTAAGATAGATCAGATTGCTGCAATTATAACAGTCATACTATGTGTAGAGAATAAATACGACTGCCTCCATGAAATATATAAAATAAACTTAGAAAAACGTTTCTCAGATTGTTATGAGCAGCATTGGATATTGAAAGTATTTTATAAATGAAACCTGTAATTTTCTATCGCGTAATCGCATTTCATATAAGTGTGATTGTATGTTTTTAAATCATCCTTCCAAAATAGAAACGTAGTATATGTCATCTATTGAAACTTGTATTATGTTGCCAATGATGTTAGGTTAATTTCCTATTTACAGTTTTCCTTTATAATTAGGGTCTATATTTTAATATTTTTTCCCTAAACCCTTCAATAATGTGGCTGTGTTTATTTTATGATAGATAATGTTTTTAGGTATGAAATATTCTTTAATGAACAAATTGCAATAGATCAATCACAATCTGTAGTTAAAATAAACATCACTGTTTAATGTGCTAAGTTTGGAGGTACAAAATTGAAATTGATGGTCTTGTACTCAACTGTTAAGCTGTGTAAAGTAATATGATACTCAAATGTAATTTTTTATGTAGTTTTTCAATACACTGAAGTGACTTACCTTACAAAGGGTATTTTTAATGCGTTCTGGTTTGAAAGATGCAAAAGGATTTGTGGATATTACCTGAAGTCTTATATCAGGCATATCTGCCTTAAGCAAGATGTTTAGGGATCATCTTATAGCGATTCAATTTATAATAGACAAGAAAAATAAAAAAAATGATTTTTAAAACATTGCAAATATCAGCACAAGAGCATAATTGATATTATTAATTGTATCTGATATTGCTGATAAAAAGTAGTGAATGACAATGGTTCCTGCAAATCACGTTACTATAGAATGCAGAATAATGTTGATCCTTCAAATTTTTTATGAAGGTTTTTTAAGCAACTATCTTGCTCTTATGCATCAATATTAAGACCAGAATGCAGCTATTTATATGCTATAAGCAATCCGTATACTGAATTGGAGTCTTAATTGTATGAAACGGCAATGTTTCCATTATCTTTCAGATCTCAAATATATATTAAAAGTTATTTTTATAAAAAAAAAGAGTTACATTCACATTCCCATTACGAGCCAAAATGGCCTGATACACTATGTAACTATCTTTCGTACGTTATATGTACTGTTCATCAAGCGTAATAGAAATTAATAAATGTATACTGTGAATGTTATTTTTCATATAATTAACTGCAAAGATATAACTATTTCTTAACTATTGCAAGAATAAATTGATATACAATTAAGAAAATATATATTTGACGTTAATGTAATAATAATATTCTACTATCACACTGTTGTCTGTTGTATGTTTAAAGGACAGATGTCCAAAAAAATTTAATCAAATATTACGTATATTACATAAATTATTTTATATTCATTGTTGTATATATTTTGATTAATTTCATTAGAAATACAACCTATCTTATCCAAGGCAAATAAAGGACTGTCATTTTAGTAAATTAATTTTCCTTGTTTTAAATGACATGATGTAATTTTACAATATAATAAAATTAAATGGATCGTTCAAATAATATCAATAAATCGCTAAGATTATTCATATTCATCACATAAACGGTTGAATGAATGATGTTTAATTAAGTAAATGCTTAATGAATAAATTAAACGTACTATTTCATTTAAAAATTTTCATATTTGTATAAATATAAGTATAATAGTATATTATGAGTTATTATTTACTATCAGTCTACTATAAATTGTCTATATTACGTACAAACTTGATTAATATGATACATTATTTGTAACCGTATATATCAGTTTATAAATACTATCAAATATTATTTGAGCATCTTTATGAGACTATATATTTGATTCATTTATAAAAAAAACATATATATATATATATATATATATATGTGTGTAATGTATCAAAGAATGATATGTAAAAAGTTCTATTTCATTTAATAGAAAAAATCACATATTTTATGTATAATGCTGTTTCTTATTTGTAGCATTCAGTTATAAACAATTTTAAGAACAATTTAATAAACGCTTTTGTATTATTTTGAAACATAAGAAATATGCTGAAAATTATAAGTTTTAAGACTCTATTTATTTTTTGCAGTATGTATATGAATTATTGAACAATCTTGTAAATCATTACCTGTACGGGGGAAATTATTAGTCAAAGATTTAAGTAATTAAATCTATAATTTGTTTTGAACAGTTTGCTACTTTGTTTTGAATATTAACATCATGTGCATTTTCAGACATAGTTTTGAGTACGTCAAGTATTTTTTCTGATTGACGTACTGCTTTAATTAATTCATTACGCTCATCTGGATTCAGTGTTGCAGCCAAAAGAGTTCCTAGTCCAACAAGAGCTCTAAATACAGCTTCAGGTTCATTGAAACGAGGAAGTATCATAAACATTGTATTTAAAATTCTTGTCTTACCAGATATATCATTACATTTATTTAACGCTACTATCAAATTCAACATATAAGTTGATATTGCAATCTGAAATAATTAAAAATAGTATTTTTATTCATATTCTTTTATATATCTTTTTTATTACAAATATTATTATATTTTATTCCCATACCTGATTGTGTTTATTTCCGAGAGAATTTAAATTGCATACTGCTTTTAATATATCATCTTTGTAGGAGAGACAAAAATTTTCTCCCTTTTCATGATAGAACAAATTTGCTAGCAATCTAAATGTAAGCATTTGATTTGACGCTAATGCACCAGGTTTAATATGTTTGTCTATCATTTTTAACATATCTGGAGTACTTATTTGCTCATTTATGTCTTTATGGAGTACTGCAAGACGTGCTATATCAAGAGCTGGAAATACTAAGTTCTCAGGCCAATTTAAAATTTGTTTTAGTATATCAATAGCATCAGCTATATGTTCTCCATGTATTTTATTTTCTATCATGTGTTTTATTATTTCTAGTTTTGCTTCGGATATTTTAAAAGTACATTCTTGTTTTGCATTTAATTCACTTAATTTATCTAAAATAAAAATATGTTATATATATTTTATCATGCAAATTATAAATTGTTAATATTTATAAATTAATATGCTAATAATTATAAATATTATTTCCTTTTATATAAATAAAGAAAGGAACTTGGCTTACCTATTATAGCAAGTAAATTTGCTTGCTCTAATTTTAAATATTTCATATGAGGTATATATGAAGGAGATACAGAAGAAAGACTTGAATAATTCTGATTATTTTTAGAGGAAAATTCGGATGGACTATCAGTCATGTTAGGTCCAGGAATATATCTGCTTCCTCCCGTAAATGGATCTGTATATTGAATACTATCATTCAAGTTAGGAGCTTGTTGAGAATTCTTAATTATGAAGTTTGCAACCTAAATATATAAATGTAAACAGATATAATATTAATTAAAAAATTGTCTAATATATGTTTATTATATAATGAAAATATGTTTATTATATAATGGAAATTTTTTGCAAATTATACCTGATCTAAGAACAATTGACTAAGATCATTATCATGAAGAAATTTTTGTGCAACAGCCCAAGGGTCCTGACCATTATTATACGGCAATTTTAAAGGTGGAACACCATCTTGTATATCTACTGAGAAAACATAATCATATTCTATGCCATTGTAAAGTTGTTTCCCAGATGTAGCCGTACTACCACCAGATGCTCCCACTACATTTCCAATTAATATCCACCTTTGTTCATTTTGTGACCAACTATATGCTACAACATTATTCCCATCAGATATCATTTTTGTTTGACCTTCTTTTTGACCAGGTTGCTGTAATGCCTTTGCATCGGGTAAGCTATAATATACACAGAAATATTATAATTTTGTATTTAAAGTTGTAGCATATTTTTATATACTTACTCCTTAATTTTTAAGCCACCTAATTCTTGCTCATTATTAATTGTTGTTTTTGCAACTTCTTCTTCAAATTGTTGTAATTTTTCAAGTGAAGCATATCTTTCTGGAATTGGTGAAAATATTCTGATATTGCTATCTGAACTACCAGCAACTATATCACCATTTGGTAATAGATCTATACACCACACTGATTGTGTAGGTAAAGTAATAATCTGATCTATTTCACCATTTAGCCATATTCTAATAGTACGATCTTCGCCAGAAGTAAAAACATAAGTGCCATTCATTAAAGCTGTTATACTATAGATATAGTTTTCATGTCCACAGTAATTTCCTAAACAGACTCCAGAACTACTATTCCAATGACGTACTGTAGCATCATTAGAACATGATAAGAATTCATTTTCTTTTATAGGTACAATGCCACGAACACAGTCACTATGACCAGATAGTTTATATCTTATAGCACCATTCTTTTGCCATACTATAATCAATTTATCTGCAGATCCAGTTACTATATTACCATCTACTAAGTCTGTGACACACCACACTGCTGCGGTATGGCCTGTTAAAGTTACTAAAGGTTTCGTTAAATCCTTAATATTCCATAATTTGGCTGTCATATCCCAAGAACTCGAAAGAAAGGTATTTTCTAGTTTTCCAGTTCTTAAATTAGATACTGTATTCTGATGAGCTTTTATAATATGAAACGGTTCTATCTGATCTTGTTCATACATACATATAGTGTTGTCATTGCTTCCAGTTATAATTAAACCTTTAGGATTTTCCTCGGATGGATTTATAATGCAGACAGAACTGACGAAATTAGTATGTCCCTTCAATACTGCTGTCTCAATGTAGTCCTTTCCATTCCTAGAATTATTTTCAATGCATATAATCTGTTTTCCGATATATGATAACAATATAAATAAAAAATATTTTTTTATTAAATTATAAAAAAAATATTTTTTTACAATTTTATCTTAGTAATATGTACAATGACAAGCAAAGTTTAAGGAAATAGAGGTTAAGTAGTACCCGCTTGGTTTCCATACACGCGCTGTTTTATCTCGGGATGTTGAAACGATGGACCCATTTGCGAAAGTTGCTATCGCTCTCACATCCGATGTATGTCCAAAAAGTACACTACTTAATTTATATGATGGTTTAGCCATGGTAACAACACATAAGAAAAATCACAGATCATCCATCCAACTCACATACGAGTATGTATCTACATACACGAATCTTCCTACAAACATTGAATATTCAGAATCTTGTTTCAGTCAAACGAGTTCATCGCGCAACTCTATTATTTCAAATTTGTAATGAAAAAGTAAATGTAAAGTACACATATATAATCAAATTTTTAAATAAATATATTGATTTATAAAAATCTTACCTAAAAAGAGAAAGAGACAGAATATTCGAGACTCAACTTAGCTAAAAACATAATAAATTAAAAAAATTTATAATTTTATCTTACAACCAATCATAAGCGTATTTTTTAATTGTGTATAAAAATGAATGTAGATATACGATATAATTTTTAGAGTTGTTACATAATTATCTTGTTTTGAGTTATTTTGAAATAATATATTGTGTGAAATATTGGAAAATTTGAAGTATGTTAGAATATATTTAACCATGTATATTTTATGGACAAATTAGTGCAAAATTTTGATTAAGAGGTACAAAGATAAAAGGTGAAAAATATGAAGCAACATAATGAATACAGAAAGATAAATGTCAAAATACCAGAAATACATCTGTATGTCGCTATACATAGAAATATATCAAATCTGTTGTGTAATTAAACTATTGGATCGGTTAGCAAATAATCATGTAAGTAGCGCCACACACAGTACGCAATCAAATCTAGCTAGCTGCTGCTTTTACCAGTGACTAGCAGAGTTTGTGCGTGCGAGTATGTACTGCATGAGGCAAAAGTAAATTGTTAACAGTTTCCGTTTTACATCATGGACGACAAACGAAATAGCCGCGAAGTGATAACCATTCTTGTCTTGTGTCTACTATGGTATGCAGTATCCAGCAGCAGCAATGTCGTTGGCAAGATGGTACTTTCAGACTTTCCATATCCTGTCACGGTAACAATGGTACAATTAACCTCAATCACAGTATACTCTGGTCCATTTTTCAATTTATGGGGTGTACGCAAGTCTCCTTCCAATATTCCTTGGAGTTATTACTTGCGTTTTATCGTACCTTTAGCACTTGGAAAATTTCTTGCCAATGTGTTTAGCCACGTCAGCATTTGGAAAGTTCCCGTATCATATGCTCACACTGGTATGTAATAATCTTGACGCGCCTATTGTATGGCGCGTAGTTTAAAAATAAATTCTCCCATCGTGAACATTTACAAATAATTATTTTTCTCTCGCTATGTACTGTTGATTAAATATATGATTTTGATTCTTATATTCAACCATATTTGAACTTTTTTAAGTTGTATCTTAATTTTAATTGAACAATTTTAAAAATGTTCAAAAACTAATCTATAATTTTTAATATATATTTTATATAGTTTTAATAGAATTAATATCTATTAAGTTTCATTAACTTTTATATTTATTAGTATTGTACATTAATGAAAATCTGGCTCTTTCCCAGTGAAGGCTACAATGCCACTCTTCACAGTGATTTTGTCAAGAATAATTTTACGAGAAAAGCAAACCTGGAGAGTTTATCTTAGTCTTGTACCTATTGTGGGAGGTGTAGCCATTGCAACTTTAACAGAACTTAGTTTCAATATGGTTGGTCTAATAAGTGCTTTAGCATCTACTATGGCGTTTTCTTTACAGAATATATACTCAAAAAAGGTGCATATATTTGATGATATTATATATTCTTTTTTTATATTATAGTGTTCATATAAAGACAAATATTTTTCGTTCCTAGGTGCTGCATGACACAGGAGTTCATCATTTAAGACTTCTATTTATATTAGGACGTTTAGCTTTGTTTATGTTTCTACCAATTTGGGTATTTCATGACTTAATAAATTTAGTATATGATCCTATTACGAAAACATCAGTAAATATTTCATATAACATATTAGCATTATTATTTCTGGATGGCATATTAAATTGGTTGCAAAATATTATAGCTTTTTCTGTGCTTTCAATAGTAACACCATTAACGTATGCAGTGGCAAGTGCTAGTAAACGTATATTTGTAATTGGAGTAACTTTATTTGTATTAGGTAATCCTGTAACATGGGTAAATGTATTTGGTATGGCTATGGCCATTTTAGGAGTATTGTATTATAATAAAGCCAAATATGATCAGCATCAAGAAAAGCAAAGAGATAATAGTATACTTCCAAAATATTATAATATAAATCGCAATGGTAATAGCAATTCTTTTGTAGCTAATGGATGGGCAAATAAGAGAAATCAACTATTTGCAGTCTAGTCTTTGTTCGAAAATATGAATTATATATCTTTTAGAGAATATTGATTTACTTATGATAATGTAAGTAAATTGGATATGTTTAAAAATTTTCAAATGATTTTATAAAAGATTATTCAAGATAATTCTCTGCATTCAGTGAAATGATTCAAGTGATTAACATATGATGATAAAGTATGTTTACTAATTTCAATTATTTGCACAAAGAGAACTGTAAAGGCCTAAAGTGTCACACAGCTAGAAACAGAAGGGTTTTTATTAACTATTTTATACGTTCGTATTGGAAAGAGCGGTATTATACCGTTAACAGTCTTCGAATCTATGATGTATTGATTAACTATTACGTTATGATTTACATTATCATTTTTTTCGCTATTCTTAAGTGCTCATTTTTAATAGTCAAAATAACTGTCGCTGCTCTGCATTTTGTGCTAATGTATTTACACCTTCATATTTCTCCTTAATTTTGAGCGATACTTTGTAGAACTTGTAGATAATTTTGAAACAATCTATTTCTTGATTCGATAAATTTCTTTTAAAATCAAACCTGCTGGTAAGGTAGAATTATATAATTTCAAATGCACATGGACCTTTTTAAAACAGCTGATTGCTGGTACAATTAGCAACAATTATTTAAATATTACGAAATAATACAATTAATAAATTCAAGTTTGCAATAAAAATGAGTTACTGTATCTAATTTAAGGCTAAGAGCATTGGCCATAAACCAGTTTCCTAGCTTGTAATGTATTCATTACGAGCGTGTAAGTTTTAATAAGTAATGCATGATTTTGCGTTTCTTAAGACATTATCCTGTTACAATGTAACGTTGACTATTTGTAGATATGCGTAATGACTATAAATGTACAGGTACATTGTTTTGAATGTTAGATTAATTTATAATAATGTATCTCTTAATTTTTGCACTTGTATAAACATTTGTTCGTTTACATACTTCCGGCAAAGATATTGTACAGTTGGTGTGTTATGAATCAGTGCGAAGTATGTATGTGTGAAAAATTGTATGCAAGAAAAGGTGTTTTAGCTAAAAGCAATCTATAGTACATTTATTTTTATAAATAAACACATGCGTACAAAAATATACCAGTGACATTAGTATCGCAGCAGCATCATTGATATAAAATATACTACATTATGCCCTACAAAATTTTTACGATGTCCTGAGGTGATAGTGGCCTAGCCACAGTCAAATCTAAACGTGGACCAGCAGCGGCAATTAGGGGTACGGCCAAACAACAGTCGCAGTCTTCTGTATTTGCTTCGTTAACACGTAGAATTCTGTCGTAAGGTCGCAAAACTCCATCGCATGGTCCACCAGGTCTTAAACGATTTATATATACGCCACGTTCGTAAAGTCCATCGGAGACAGAAAATCCGAAATCTTCGTAAACTGGATCCTTGTGCAGTGATACGTGTATTATTTGTTGAGGTCTATTATCTGATACACCGTGTTCTTGAGAGCTACAATTGGTTATATTATTTTATCTTATTCATATTCATGTTAAATATTTTATATAGGTATTTAAAAAATATCTGTATTTTTTTTATTAATAATAATTCAGTAATTTTTCGATGCATTTTAATACTTTTGATAAGGTGGTGTCGGAGGATCTAATTGTCCACTATCCACAGAAACCGCATCCCACAGTCTTAATATTTCCGGGCCTGCTCCACTACTTTCTCCTAATTCTCCCCAAGAATCCACTGCACTATCAACACTGGGCAAACTTTCTCTGGCAGAACGTAAGATAGTGGAAGGATATTGAGTGGGTACTACATCACTTCCTATACTTGATTCCTTACAATAATCTCTATACAATATAGAATTCGAATAATATTTTTTGATCATTTTACAACCAATATGTCTTAAGATTGTATAATTTACCTTGTTTCTGAAAGTGGGTCAGACTTTCTTACAGTTAGAGCAACTACAGAACTCCCTGGTCGGTGAAGTAATTGCGCGGCTTGTCTCAGATCACCAGCATCTAATTTTTGATTGTCGATAGCTAGTATGCGATCTCCCGATGCTAAACTACCTGTTCTATATGCGAGAGAACCTTTGCGAACTTCAGTTATAACTAAATCTTCGTTTACAGTAAGTCCTAGATCAGGATGCCCACCTAGAGGTCTTGCGACTCTTACAGTAAAAACACCAGAGTTAGGTACAACCGGACCACCTACCTTGTACTCCGTAACAAGTTCAATCTGTTGAGAAATATTTTATTGTATAATATTTATTACATAACTAAAAATTATGTTTTTCGAACAGATTTCTAGTATTTCTAAATTTTAGTTATGAAATCATTACCATTTGTGAATTTTCTAAAATATCAGCCACATCTGTAGGTTTCAAGTCGCGCAATATAGTACGATTAATTGCGATCGCTCGATCACCAGGTAATAGAACACCGCTTTGTTCGGCCGGACCACCAGCTTCCAAAAAATTTATCACATAATTTATACGATCTTCTGTTTGTTTCAAAGCGAGACCAAAACCCCTATGATCTGGTCGAAGTATCACTGTCAAACTTTCCTTCGTTTGCAAAGTTTGATTTGAGCTTTGTTGCACTTGAGGTTGCGCTCTTCTTTTAACCGTTCTCGCTGACGTACTTTGTAATCTTGGTAGAATCTGTAACTTTGCTATACGACAATTTTCCGAAGTATTTCTCAATAATTTAGCTGCAGTGACCGCATCTTGTACCGGTGTATCATCCACCGCCAAAAGTTTATCTCCTGGCTGTAATGCGCCACAACGATCTGCGGTACTTGCTGGTCGAAGACTTTCGATATAAACTCCATTAGGTGTTTCCCTTACGGTTAGACCTAGTTCTCCTGAAATTGTACCATTAAACTTCACAAGAAGAAAAATTGTTATAGACATTTCAGACAGCAAAGAAGCTACATTTGAAGAAAGAAATAATTAAATAGATTAAAAGTCTGTACCTGAAAGTCCACGTTCGAGTTGGACCAAGAGTGAGCCGGACGTTGCTGCTCGAGCTTCGTCCATGTTCGCGACATCATACTCGATAGTTAGAGAAGCCACAGGTGAATCTGAACTTCTTCTAAGCGCTCTTTGAGCTTCGGCTAAAGTTAAACCACTCAACTCGGTATCATCGACCGCAAGTAATCTGTCACCAGGTCTAACTCTTCCTTCTTTTGCAGCTGGACCATCGGCTTTTATTCCCGTGACAACGAGAGCTCTGGAAACACCACCGCGAAGAGTGACACCAAGACTACCACTCTCGCGTTCTACTCTGACTTGTGCGACTTTAGAAGATACGCTTGACGGTGACGATATATTGCCGTCCTGTTCATCGAGAAGCAAAAAACTCGGGGGATGAAAGAGAAGTGGGGGAACTTCCTCTGCTCTACCGGAATCCGAACTTGCCGACGTGGCCACACTGCCAGGTCTGGCTCGACTTTTGTGCGACCGCATCGTCGCCAATCTTAAGGAACTAAACATCCTCTATGTTGTTTTCTACTTTTGTCAAACTTTAATAACTTCAACAAATTTTATTAACGCATGCACAGGCTTATGCAGCAAATCGAAATGCCTTGCACTACACGGCATCAAACAAAATTTCTAATGAAAATTTATATATCGGACTACACACAATGTTCATTATATGAAATATATATTACAATATCGCCTTACACTTTCCAGAGTACGAAATTAGAAGTACCGAATTTAGTAAACACTAACGTCACATGAATATGTTGATAACTTTTTCGTTTATCTTCGTTAACGTGTTTACACGATATCTTTCTTCGGTGTTTGGTTGTTTTCATCTACGAAATGGCGTCGTTTTTATCGAAAATATATTTTGATGCGTGAGAACACGAAATGAATTTTCTCGATAGCAGCATGATCCGTAATATCTTTGAATAAGCACATTCTGATTATTGATTCACGCACGGTAACTGCAAAATTCGTATCGCAAAACACTTAGAATCTTTATTATGAACGAAAATGAAGGGAAATGAGGAAAAAAACAGAGAAGGGTCTATTCGAAGATACTCTCGGAAGACACTCACGTAGCGGGTAAAATTTGAAAACAATAATACGTTCGGTTCATTTCACGAGGTAAATGATTTGTTTCTTTTTCTCTTTCTTTCTTTCTTTTTTCTCTCTCTTTCTCTCTCTCCTCTCTCTCTCTTTCTTTCTCTATCAGTGAATTATTTGTTAGGAACTGCAGTGCTTCTTCCGAACGAAACTCGTTAGAACCAAGCAGAGGACTGTAACAACTCGCGATGGATCTCGAAAATAGCTCTCCTCGATGTAGGGCCGCAATCGCGGGAGTAAATGCTAAATTCTATTTATATCACAGCAACGAGATCGTCTTCGAGAGTATCTTTAAACGTGCGACTGTGCGAAGAACTGCGGCCCTGTATTGCCTGGCCATGCTACGTTTCTTCGACCGTCGAACGAGATTGCACTTATTGCTGAACCTACACGTTCAATGCTTTTAAGTATCCTAAGACCAGATATGGTTGATGTAGAATGTATTTGCTCATCCTAGCTTTTAATACTTCTGTTTGTAGTTATCGATTCTCTTGCTTTACCTTTCATTTTCTTAACTTTCAAACTCTTCATATCAAAGCTCTTGACTATCTTGTATTCTTTCTATTCATACTATCCAATTTGTTTTACCCTTGTATTGTTATCTATTTTTTTAAAATCGCAAAATGCATTACTAAATACTTCTTTTCATTAAAAGCAAAATTTCATTTTTGCTTTTCATAAAAAGCAAAATTTATTACAAAGTTTAACCAACAATGACATAAAGTTATTGATATCATTGCTTTATTTATTTTTTATCTTTTATTTATGAAAATTTAACGATCCGTAGCTATCATATAATAGCACGTAGCGACACGCAGGTGTTAAGAATCGCATTAGGACGAAAGAACCGATCTAAAAATATCTCTCGGACTTTGATATCTGCGTAATGCGACGTGCATTGTTTTCATTTTATTTTTTTCGATCTGGTGCAAATCGAGATAACTTCTCCCAACATTTTAATTTTTTTATATATAAATATTAATAGATATATACTATAATATATATATCTAGTCAAGATAAGATTTATTATATATTTTGTTAATAGATATAATATTTAAAAAATTTCTTAATATTAACTTTAATTCTTTTGTCACATCTTATACATGTTTTATAGATTGTCATTTTTTCATGATTTTCATGGTTTACAAAGAAAGAGAAAAAAGAGGAAGCGGGTAAGATATAGAGAAAGAGAGAAAAGGAAGAAGAAACAGAGTCCGTCGGTTCGGAAGCTTATGCCAATTTGCCAATTCCTTGGCGGTCTAAAATTAGCGCGTAGTTTGCGAGAAGCTAAATGTACGAACGGAAGACCGAGGAGAGAAAAGGATAAGTTGTCGGCCAAACGAAGAGAGGATGAAAGAATAGTGAGTGGGAGATGAATCTGTAGGAGAAGACATCATCATGATGTACTGCAGAGAAAGAAACGACAAAACTTTTAGAAGAATAAAGATATTGAAAGAAAATATAAATTAAGAAGAAAAGAATAGCAAAAAATATTTGTAAATAAAGAGAAATTATAACAGATGAATTAAAGACTCGAGATTTTGTCTATCGTAGTCCTATGTAATAAAATACTCTGATATTAATAACTTGGCTACAGTAACGTGTGGCCATACGTTATAATAATCGTATGACCGTTGGATAATTATGTATCTCTGAAAGCCTGACTACAACGAACATTGAAACTATGCGAGTTTCTTGTACTTTCTTTTTTATGTTTATCGTCATAACAGTATCTGTTTGAAAGCTAACTTCTACACTTATGGTATTATTAACCGAGAAAATTTAAAACAGAATACCGACAAAACTCATTATATCAGTGTAAAAAAAGGAACAAAAATCGTACATTCCTTTTCTAATAACTATGCTAATATACCATATTTACTACAGTCAATGAACGATCGATTGCATAATGTGTCCAATGTTACTCACATTAAAAAAAAAAAAGAGAAGTTTCAATTACGATATCTATCATGATTACATACATATGTATCACTTCGTGCTCATATAAGAACATTTAATAAAAGAATTTCATGACAGAAAAAACGATCCATGGGTGTAAATGTAAAGAATATCTTCTGGACAACTTCATGCCCGTGTACTGCGATCGTTCTTTAATTTCATGATTTCTTTCGAAGAGAAATTTCTTAACGCCCATCCTTGTTCTTTAATAAATAATCAAAAGGATTAGAACGTTGAATGAGAAGAATATAAAATTCCTAACAAACTCTTTCGTATATCAGTCTGTCGCATTTGGATTCGTATATGAAAATCCACGAAAAACGCCTTGATCCATCGAAGATAAAATTTGTTCGGGTATAGGCGTGAGTCGCGGTCTTTCAGCTGTGAATGCCGTGTCAAAATATTTGGTATCCAAGGTATGTTCCAAAGCTGGTTTAAAGGGAGGTTCAAGCTGTCTCCTTTCTAGCCGATCCCAAGGCAAAGACTACGCAAGAAGATTTATTTGCTATGTTATAAAAGCTAATTTATGCAAATTTGCTAAATTTAATTTCACGAATAACAAGTCTTTTAACATAAATATTATTTTAATTTTTAAGTATCTACCTGAAAGAAAGGATGTACTGCAATTTCGTGAGCAGGCGGCCTCTTTCCAGAATCTTTTTCTAGCAAAGTGACCAGCATATCTGTTGATTCTTGACTCAAGTATCGAGGTATGAAAGGTCTTTCATTGCAGATACTCCAAAATAATTCATCTTCGTCGCAACCAGAAAATGGTGATTGGCCTGTTAGCATTTCATATAACAAAACTCCGTATGACCACCAATCTACAGCTTGATTGTACTTCAATCCTTTTATAATCTACAATAATTATATATTATTAGTAACTTGTACCAACGAAATTTATTTTGAAATTTCAGTATAAATATAAATACATACCTCAGGTGCCATATAATCTGGTGTACCGCAGAAGGTGTCGGCGGTTCTATCCAAGAATATTTGTAATTTACACATACCGAAATCAGCAATCCTAATGTGCCCTTCAAAGTCTAAGAGCACATTATCGAGTTTGAGATCACGATAAACGATACCCTTCTTATGTAAGAAATTCAACCCGGACCAAATTTCGGCGGCATAGAAACGTGCACGAACTTCGGGAAATCGACCAGATTTTTGTATATGAAACATAAGATCTCCTCCGTTAAGGTATTCCATGACGAAAAAGAGATGCGAATCTGTTTGGAAGGTGCAGAAGAGATGACAGAGATATGGATGCCTTGTAGCCAATGTAAGAACTTTACGTTCAATCAACGTACACTCGACGTCGTCATCTTCGAGGACAACGTCCTTTTTCAGACACTTAACCGCATAAACACATTCTGTGCCACGTAATTCTGCTAGTAATACTTTGCCAAAGCTACCTTTACCCAGGACCTGGAGGAAAAGAGATAAACATTATTGATAAGGAATCATTTAAAAATTCTATAATACAAATTTCATAATCATCCTTCATATTTCATGTTCCTTAAACTTCAAGTTCCTAGAATTTACACAGATATGAAGGTTATAAATAATACGTTACGAGATGCTAAATCGGTAGATCTATTTGCGTTTTAGTACAAAACCAACGGTGCTTTGAGGATTAAGACGATGAAAATTTCAGATGTAAATCGCATGTATCGCGAATACTAAACAAACTAAGTTCCTGGCATTTGCGGTAGTTCTTCCAACATAAACTTGAGAGAACCGATTGTTCGCACTTAATTCCCTGGACTATTTCCTAACGATTCTTCGTGAATCAACCGATTCCTTCGATGTAAATACACGTGATTCAGATTAGTCTTCGAGTGGAAGTTTAGCAGACAGTGCCAAGGAACACGTCTCGCGTATCAACCCTCATATTTTTATCGCCTCTGTTTGTAAAACTTGTATGAATTGTAAATCGTTGTCATCGATACTTGTAAAAGTATCTTCGATTTATCTAAATTCTATGTATCTATATTTTCTATCAATATTATCATCTAATTGTTACATGATATTGTGCGCAATAAAAAATAAAAAATAAAAAAGTAAGCAACGATATTAAATAGTAAAGATAATATTTTAATTTTATTCCTATATTAACTCTACGAGCCAATAATTCTTGCATTTCACTATAGAAGCGTTCCGAAGAACCTTGGCAAAGAATGACGTATTGCATTTACTTCTCCCACATGCCGAGGTAAATCTTTCTCTAGTCTGGTATCGTGTAGATCACATCAGAGGTTCACGAAACTTCGTGCTGTCAGGCAGACAGCAGGCAGATGCAACGTTGGATACAGTATAACGCTGCATTTTGCAATCGAGCCACAAATCGAAGCGCACTTCGGCTCGATTCGTGCTATTTATGACAGGGATAATGAGCGATCCTCATCTGTGCTAGACTTACTTTGAGAAAGTTAAAATCCGTCACGGCATACTTTTTGAATCTTGGCAGATTTATGGCCGGTGGTGTAATACGACCACTTGGAAAATGATCCGGCGTGTCTGAGTTTCTTTGATTCTCTAATGATTGCGACGGAGCTGAAAACAAGACGCTAATCAGCGATTCGTAATGCAATGATATATTGAATTTTAATTCGAACAGTAAAAAATGCTGAACACTCAAGTTATTTGTAGCAATAAGTTAGTAGGTTAATAGCTTACACAGACTTTTCCGTCGAGAAAAGAATCGTTCTGTATCGTTAATATATTTGGTTATCAATAAATATTATGCGACCGAAAGGAAGTCACCCTCCGCAAAAATTGGTTTTAAACGATTCGTCATTTCCTAGTATAACAACAATATAAACATTTCTTGCGAGTCTCTACGAGAAAACGAATAATATCTACCAAGTCTTACAAGCCCTTCTAAATCCATACTCACCCTTTTTAAGAGCTTGCAAAGCTTCGGCAACGAGCTTTTGATTCAATCCACAAAGATTCCCTGTGAGCTTTTCACATTTTTTATGACAGGCCATATCGCAATCTGTACGAATTTTTCAGTATAAGCGTATAACATCGTTGTTTCTTTCTCTTTTTTTTTTATTTTTCTTTTTTTTTTTTTTTTTTTTTTTTTTTAATTTATATAGAATGTAATATCTTTCTTTCTCGATGCACCTTTAGCCGATTATGAGTAAGAAATATGACAAGTGTTCTCGCAAGATGAAATAAAAATAATTGTATAATTCTTCGCGTATGACATGTATATAGTAAATAAAACATTTAGCTATCATGCGTGCATATATGTGAGCAATGTAAGAATATGGAAAGGGATAAGCAACACATAAGGTCAAATTCAAACGAGATATATAAATAAATAATAGAGATGATAGATAAATACTGGAAATCCTTGGCGAACCGTCGAATCCAGAATCGTTGCTTCTTGTCGAAGCCATCCTTTTGTGCTCTGGATCGTCGTCCAATTCGGTGCAAGTCGAAGCACTGCTACCATCGGTGCTACCGGTAGTAGCCGTACTGGCGGTACTTCCGGTACTATCGCTACTCACGGATGGTGTTCGCGACTGATGTCTCTTTCTTTTGATCTTTGCTCGTCTAACTTTGGAAAGATCTCTTGGCGTAGCCGTGAGTAAAGCAGATGGTGTAGTATAAAACATTCTTATTAAATCGATCGGTCTCTGAGTAGGCGAGTTCCTAGGACTTAATCTTGGCGACGAACTGCTTTCAGGTGGTTTCAAAGTGCTCGTTGCTTCTTGACGAGGCTTTGATATCGTCTCGTTGCGTGATCCTTTGCTATCCTTCTTCTCGTTCTTGTCCTCTTCGTTACTGATCGTCTTCGAACTCGATTTCCTTTTCTTAACAATCTTTTTATTTTTCTTCGAGGATTCCGGACTAGCTTGCTGACTATCGTTGGGTGTCGCTACAAGACTGGCCTCGTTGGAAGAGGCAGGTGTCACAGTTTTCTCATGATCATCGGCATTAGAAAAATTATCGTGATCGCTCCATTTTGAGATCAGTGCGATAGGTGAGTTGGTCCATTCATTGGTAGGTGTGCTAGGACTCTCTTCTTCTTCGTCTATATCCTGTATTTGAGATTCATTGATTGGTGACGCTTCGACAATATTTATCAAGGGTACTGCGGTAGAAGGTATCTCACTGAAAGGTGTAGTAAGTTCAGATTGAGATTGAGTTAGCGTAGAAGGTGACACTATTGAAGATGGAGTGTCATCTGAGCATGTGGTTTCTTTAATCAGGGGATTTTTTCTTTTTACCGTCGAAGACACATCCTTCAATGAGGGTGGTATTGAGATAACAAGATCCACCTTCTTACGTATTTTCTTTTTTTCCCCCGTTACTGCTTCTTTGTTCTCCTTTTCAGCTTCTCCTTGTACTTCTGGAGACATAACTTCCTCTTTGTTCTTAATAAATTTGCTCTCAACGAGGGGACTTTTTGCGATTGTTCCTCGTTGTTGCTTTTCTGGAAAACTCGTTGTCTTCGTTGTCGCCATCGCCGTCGTCGTCGTCGTCGCTGTCGCCGTCGTCGTCGTTGTGATATTACTGGACAAGTATGTCGGAGTGCAGGGTGCAACGCTTATTTTAAGATCAGTTTCTTTTTCCTTATCGTCTGGTTGTTTTTTTATCGATGACGATGACGATGACGATGACGATGACGACGATGATGATGACGATGAAGAAATTGATTCCACTTTGGAATTATCGACAGATTGCATTTGTTTTGGTTCGTTACTTTTGATTTCGTTCCAGAAATCTATTGATTCCGTGGATTCGCTCTTCAACAAATCTTCCATCTTTTCGTTAATCGGTGTATTAATTATTTCAGTCCCGTTAATCAATTTGTCACTCATACCCATGAGAGATTTTGCGTGAATAGATTCTGCACTTTGTTTTACTATCAACGATGGTCCTTTACGCAAGACGGTGTTCTGGAACGCAGCACCGGTTTTGTTGGTGTACGTTGAATCCGTTGGCATGTTCCGCGATAAAACGGTCGCCGTGCCGTCGACCTCTTTCGTATTTCCCCCCGCCATCATGGATTTCAACGAGCTCATGTTCTTCGATTTACTCGCGTCTCCGGTCTCTCTTAGTTCGTCCTTCGTGATATTCGAGAAGTCCTTATTCTTCGCATTTAATTTCATTGCACGATCGTCACCGTCCTTGGACTTGGCTATCATCGAATCAATTGCGTTCGATTTTATACTGTTCACGTTCTCCACATCGATTCTCTTCCCACGAGAAATCCTCTTCAAGGTTTCCTCTTTATTTATTGTATTTTCCGCTAATGACGCAGCTGCGTCCTCGAGATTCTCAATTTTTGGTGGATTTGCCAGGTACGCTGCTACTCGTAACGAAAGCTCTGGCGCTTCTACGGCATTATTTTCATCCGTATTAATTTTAGACGGTTTTGGCAGGCACGAAGCGTTCGGTGTAAGCACCAACGACACCGCGGCGCTGTTTTCACCCGTATCATTAGAGATAGAAATTCCTCTGTTCATCGATATATCATTTTCAATTTTTCCTAATTTGTTCTTCGTATCACCGTTAGCCAACAAGCCAACATTGTTTTTCATCTTTTCTTCTTTCTTATTATCGATGTCTTTACAAGCCAATTTACTTTCGTCCGTTTTCTCAACGATTCGTTTACCCTTGACATCATTTATTTTCTCTTTCAATATTTCCAAGCTTTTATCCATTGCTGTTATTGATTCTTTTTTTTCTGAACTATCTATACTAATCGTTTTAACTTCTGCATTACTATCCTTCGATGCCGTATCCTTTCCACTTTTCTTTATGCCGTCTTTAGGTTTTGATAGATTCGCGTTATCGATAATTGCCTTTCCTATTTTTTTATTCTTTTCAACTTTTGTTTCGTTAGATACGACTTTTTCTTTCGTCTCTTTGATAAGTTTCGATGATTTTTCGAATGAAGCGTCCTCGTTAGTCTCATTACCGATTTCTAGGACTTTCTGTAAAGTGTCTCTAACTCGAAGCTTCAATAAATCTTTCTTTGTGAGAGCATCTACACCGTTAGGTATTTTTTGTAGAGTAGAAACGTTGCTGTCCTTAATATTTAACTTTTTCTTTTCTTTATCTTGCGTTTTTAAAGTAAGGTACACACTGTTCCTTGATGTATCTTTGATATAGGGTTTACGAACTGGTAACACGATCTTAGTTTCAGTTTCTTCAAGGATACCATTCTCCGGCATCGAGGCAACGTCCCCAGTCTGCTTAACGTTAGCCAAAACTTTTTTAGGAACAGGAATCCTAATGCTTTCTCTGAATTGTTCAACGCTTTCCTTTTCCTCTGTATTTTCCGAAGTTGCGTTAATCCAAATTGTAGAAAAGTCACCGACACTGTTAGATGCTTCGATTTTATAAACGGGTTTTCCAAATTTACTTTCGTCCTGACTTTCATCTTTCTTCGCATCTTCCATACTACGCGCTTCGTTGGAAGAGGTACTCGATTGTCTCATTTCAAGCGTATCTTCTTTTTTTTCCTCCTCATCGGTAGACAATGTTTTTTCCATCATCTTTTTCTTCTTTTTTATCTTTTTAAACGTTTTCTTCACCTTCAATGCCGTTTCGTTTTCATCATCTTTAGCTTCTAGAGATTCCTCACTGTCTCCAAAGAAAGACGAGATCGGTCTAGAACCTCTAATAACACCTTTTCTAATCAAAGTACCTCTTTTAACTTCGTCCTCGATCTCAGCTTGCTCCTCTGCTACCAAACTATCTAAAACCTTCGCTTGGACCTGAGCATAAGTAACTTCTCGTTGGATTTGTTCCGCATCGAGTTGAATATCGGCTGATGATCTTCTCCTCGTCATCCTTCGCGTTATTCTTCCCTGCATCGATTGAAAATCCTGCGTATTGTTTTCTTGATCGAGACTCACCTGATGATAAACACGCGTTCGAGATTCCTCATCCTCAAGTCTTTTTTTATCCTTTATCAAAAATTTTTCCACCAGCAGTTCGCCTACGCTCTTTTCATGCTTTTCATTGTGCTCTCGTAACGCCGGATTATCTTTCAATGCTTGCGATCTTATCTTTATCGTTGGCCTGTCTCGGCGAAGCCGATTACCTCTTTGCCGATTTTCATCCCTCGATGACAGAGTTCTTGGTGTCGATACATCAATATCGGCAGTGTCAATTACTCGTCTAACGCGAGTGGTCACCGTGCTGACAGGTGAATAACGTCGTAGATTGCTTAACGACGATTCCGTAATCGTCGACAGATGTGGTGCAAATCTTGCAGACAATGGATTGTGGTAACTTCTGTATGAGGTTATTAATTACCGTTATTCTAAGTAGCATTATTTTTAAATGTAATAAAAAATAAACGTAAAAAAAGTAATCTGTACTACCGATCTCCGTTTTTTATACTCTTATGATATCCTAATTAATATTATATATGTATGTAAATGAACAATCTAACGTTGTTTTATAATTATGCCTTGTTTTATTTGTATTTATAATAATTAATTATAATTTGTAAAGAAATATAAATTAAATATGACGCGTTTACATAAAGATAAAAGAATCCATTTATTACTCTATGTATTTATGGAAACAGACTTGAAAATAGCCAGTTTCTCGACAGGCGATTAAAAATAAGTTTAAAATACATTTGTTATATAAATTTTGTTCCATTTCATAATAATAGGAACGTGGAATAGAAACAATAGGATAGTACAAATTGGATCGTTCACATGTGACTGCCAAGTATCGATTGACGAGCCCTTCGATCGGCCGTGTACACTCCTCAATGCCAAACGTTTATTTTTATACCACGTTACGTTATAGGACGACAACGTTTCACGAACACTTGTTAGGTACACGTGAAATACAAAAACTTCCAATTTGGCACACTACCATCGATACAATGACTATCAATTAATGAATCGATTGAAGTGGTTCTATTGAATAATGACAAATGACTTACGAAACACCACGTAGTATGTTTGTCGTGTACGCATACGCAAAATATATATCGATTGAGCCGATTCATAAACTTCAATGGTATATACAAAATGTGATTTTATCAAAAATATCGATATACCAAGTATATCAATTGTATTAAAAATTCAACACTACATACAATATTTCAATATATTCATAAAAAATATTTGAAAAGAAAAAAAGAAAATTCTGAAATAAAACACAAAATTAGCAAACGTAAACGTAGTTTATTCGCGAAAAAACTCCGTTGAACGTCATACTGAGTCTAAGAAAAACGGTGGCTTGCAACCAAAAAATACAGCAAAAATAAAACTCACGGAGAAGAATGTGAGAAACTCAAGAAAAAGGCGTGATCGAAGAGAATCGTTTTGTTAAAAAAAGAAAAAGAAAAAACCGAAATGAATATTCTTGTATATTTCCATTATCTATCTTTTTATTATTTGATAGATGTCAGGAGTTAAATGTTAGAGTATGTCACATTCATGTAAAATAAAATGAGATGAAGAAAAAAGAGATCATTCTCTTACGCTTACCGTGGTATTCCAGTCATAAGAGAGCTATGATTAGCAAATGTTCCCCCATAATAATAAGGCGTACTGTCGCCATAGTACGGCATCTTGACCACGTATTTCTAATAATATACGTTACTAATTCGAATTTGTGATATTTTAACTTTATAAACGAAAAGAGAAAAATCGTAAGGACAAAGAACGAAGAACGGACGAAGAAAGAGCCGGTTCGAGAGAATACTGAACGCGTTGTGCGCGGCTCTTGTCGGCTCAGGTGTACAATGAAGCGTTCTCACGGCTCGCGATGCCAAGACCGACTGAGTTTAAAACAGCGACCCAGTGTAATAATAGATTCCTAGTATGAGCCTTCCTACAGACTAACTATATTACCTAGACTTCCAACAACTCGTACATACAAATACTACTATCACTAATAATTACAACTCTGGAATACGATGATGAATATGTTTATGTATACACGTACGCACGTGCGCTCTTGTATATTTTTTATTAATAATTTTCTAAACAATTATGATCAAATGAAAACGTATATATACATGAATGATTTTATATAAAATGATAAGGTAGTGAAATTTATATAAAATCTCATATTACATATGCTTAAGAGTAAATTTCTGATCATATTAACGGATTTTTTTCGTGAGTACAAAACATCATATTGCTTTCTTCTTCTTAGTGTTTATTTTGGCTTTATATATTCTACGCTGCTGATGTAGATATAGTTATAGTCGATATTAGAAGTCATTTATTTCATATATGATATCAAAATCATATTCTTACACATATAAGTAGAATAAGGTGCATCGAGATTTTAACAAATGAAATATTAATCCTTCGTTATACTTACCATCGCATCTTAATCCTTGACGAAATAGACCATATAGCATGGAACCACAATGATCGCAAAATGTTGGAGACATAAAAGTATGGGGTCGGAATCTGTGAGGAACGTCCACTTTAAAACGTTCCCTCAAGTACTATCATTAAAAGAAATACAAAATTGTCATGTTTTACGATCGCTTGAAATAGTGTTAAAATATTCCAACATGTAGTTCCTCTGAAATATAAACGTTAGAAAAATAAAATTCCACTAATATCTCATACTTACTATTGTGTTTTCTGATTCTCTCCCACTTTCCGGACATTTTGTTAACAACTTGTCATGACATCTCTTGTGCACCGCAGTTTGGCAAGCTAGAATACAATGAAATAATAATAAAAATGACCTAAGAAAGCGCGGAGCGACGAAAATAAAGTAAAACGTAAATTTTACCTTGGCATTGGTAACCCTGCTTTCCAAAACCCCTAGAAAAAAGATCAAACAATAAATAAATATATTATAATTTTTGCAAGTAATAAAGATTGATTTAAACTAATTGACATTTCAATAAGATATGTAGAACGTGAAAATATATTTTTAGACAAATCTATCAATTCGAATTAAAGAATTTCTTTTACAGAATAATAATTTCATCAGAGAAAGAATTTCAACATACATTTTGCAACAGTAAATTTCAATTCGGTGAAATGTTTAACTGTACTATACGTACACGTAATCTTAATATATATACTAAATATGAAGTAAACTTACCAAAGGAAATCCTTACAAAAGGCACAAAATGTCGGCTGTCTAAAAAACTTTGCAACTAATCTATGACCTCGTACAATATGCACTTTGTTGTGTTTGACGGCACCTCTTCTTCCCGTTATCGCGCGGCCTACGTTGGTCTTTAGTAGCGCTATCTGCGATGTAGCAATAAAATCCCTTCGTGGTACTCTTGTTCTATACACATAAGTTCTAGGAGTGGATGTTGTTGCTGGTAAATCTTCAAGTTTCACAGGAACCGGTACTCTCGTTCTAAAATAATATTTTAGATGCATAACGATTTATTTTAAATTTTAAATTAAATCGAGTCAGTTGTGAATCAATTGGAGAAATATCATTTCATCTCAAGTGGCTCACCTGTATGCGTATCCTTCAACTCCAAATCGTGGTTTAGGACTCTTGTGTTCCAAAGAAGTTCTCTTTCCAAATCTTCCTCCTGCGCCACAGGCACTGCCACCACCACTACCACTACCACTACCACCACCGCTAGCGCTACCACCACTACCACTAACCTCACTGTCACCGCCACCACCACCGCCAGCATTCCTTCTTTTCGCGTGACAACCACCACGTGTAAACATCATATTTCACAAATTTATCATTTACAGTAAATATAAATACAATTAATTTTTTCACAACTTCCACACTAACTTCGCAATTCCTGTATTCGACGTTACATCCAAATCAATTTCAAAACGATAGTTTAATGATCAATTTCAATATCCATCTATTCGCCAAAGACATTAAATTTTTTTAATAAGATATATTCGTTCAAAAGCTCTCGAATACTTTTAAAATAGTAATATATAAAAAAAAAGAGAGATTAAAAAAAGAAAAATAAGAATGTAACCCTATTGAACTCGTTTCGTTTACGTTTATCAAGCAAATTAATGTGAATGATAAACTTTCGGGCAATTTTCTATCATTGAATACACATTTCACACTGTTTTCACAGCTAAGCCATACAAATCTGACAGAATTACTTTGAACTATCGATTCACGCTTTCCTTCTTTCTTCTACTTCCTAATTGTATTCCTAATTGAGCCTCTTTTTAAATTATCTATTTCTCATCTTCCAAAATAAATATACGATATGTAAACGAAGAAATTCATATTGTGAATTCGAATAATATTCCATAAGCATATAGGGGCGTATTATTTTTACACAACATACTTGCATCACTCGATAATTTGTCCTTCGCGTGAACTCGTTACAATATTTACTTACCAAAATAAAGACATTATTTTTGCACTATCGTTTGATCGACATTCTGCGTTCGACAGCTCATCATGCGCGTCGCGTGGTAATCGCGTCGCGCCGATTCAGGATCGAGAACGTTCAACGAAGGATCATTCCAACGTAAAAATTGTCATATCGACGTAAATGACTATTCGAATTAATTAGGTTATAAGAGATATCAAAAACGAAGACCATATGTAATATTGATTGTTGCAGGAACTGAGTTTTGACGCTTAAAGCTTTGTAGGTTCCCACGAAACTCAAGATTTCTATAAATATCGGCGCCTTGAATACCGCCCGCCATAACATCTACTCTCTAGCGCTATCTGTATTATATGCTATCCAAGATAATTGACTAACCTCAAACGCGGGAAATTTAAAAATGTTTAAAGTTTGTAGAATTTAAGCGAATATCCAGAAATAAAGTAAGTTTTACAATTGTTAGATATTATAAGATATTCGTATATAAGTAAATTCAACCACGGATATTAATAAGGTAAGTAGTAAATTTTATTACTCGTGAAATTATTTGAGAATTGTCGTTAATAGTCGAAAAGGACAGCAATGCGTTCTTTGTTTGTCTCCATGCAGGGAGCAACTCGGCAAGTTAAAAGTTACAAAAGCCGAAGACAAAGTTTTTTCTTTCAACAGTTAATACTGCTCCTTTTACTTGTTTCACTAATAGCATTTCTTTTAAAACATATAGAATATATGAAAGATACACACGATTCTGTCTTTTACCGCCTGATTAAGATTTTATTTACATTTAAGATAAAATAGGTACTATAACTGTAATAAGAATACATTACTATCCGTACAATCTTTCAATGAATTATCTTACGATCACACTCGTATGTTACATAATAGAGTATAATTACTAATTATACATCTTATTATAAAAAAAAAAAGTAATTTTTTGTACGAACATACAATTTCTTTACGTTTATGTATATCTGAATAAAAAGTAAAAGAAAAATGAATTACATAGTTTTATGGTACACATTTTATGAACTATGTATAATTTATATTAACTATTTCGAATGTCTAACTCTGTAACTGCCACACATTTCAAGCTATTTTTAAATTCCGCATAAAGAATATTAATTGGGAATGATCGTACGTACAGACTTCTTATTAGTGACAAAAAATAAATTGAAGAATTCATAAAAAATGCAACACAGCTTTCGTTTACAAATAGCTATGCGATATATCGACAAGTGCACATTTTCCAAGGGAAGGCACGAATCGTAGCTTTTAACACGCGTGCTGCATAGAACCTAACGTTTCAATGAATTTGAGCCTTTTTACCCGTTAGTGATTTCTGCTTTTTTACAAGTTAGTTGTATAGGGGTAACACTTTATTGGTACAATCGATCAACTGTCAGTGTTGTTCAGTCGCTAATTTTTTAGGTTGCCGTTCTTGAGCACGCTTAATTCTTAGTAGCAATAAATTGTATAATAGTTCAATTTCATTGGGTACTGCCTGAACAATAAAAATTCTTATATCTCCATGCACATCCATCGCAGTAAGTCTCAAGGATTTTGGCGATGCTCGTTCTGCAGTCATACCAGGCCAAACTTTTGTATTGAGAATCAATCGTTGTGTCCCAGCTGTACGTCCTACTAAACGCGATTCCTCATCTCTATCATTTAATCGAAGAGTTCCTCTGCCTCTTTCTTGCCAACTACTGGAAGCCTGAAATAGATAAGGAAAATCCTTACTAGTATTATTTTTAATAACCGTTTATATAATTATTACAATATAAGCAATTTATTCATTAATATTTGTCTTTTCTATTTAAAATCCATAATACATTATGATATATACCTTATCAAATGCGAAGAGTTTACAATTGATCTGGATAACATTTGTCTCTCCTTCTTCTCCAGTTAATAATGTTACTTGGCTATATTTTCTTTTATTTGCTCGACTTGCCTCTTCAAGTTCTTGTGCTGCTTGTGTTAGTGTCAAACCTGGCCGAGTAGCTGAACGACAAATAGCTGCTGCATTTGAAAAAAGTAATTCTGAAGATCCATTTTCATTATTTTCCTCTTTCTTAGTTTCTTCTTTTTCTAAACTATCAGAATCTCCTGTATCACTGGGAACAGTTACTCTTTCTTTCAGATTCTGACCAAATATGAAACTAGGCTCTGAAGCACTAGGTTCCACTGTATTATTTACATTGCTCTCATTATCTTTTATGTTCCCACATAATGGTAAAAATTTTGGTACTATTTCTTCTGCTTGTTTTTCTTCAGTTTTACATTCCTTTGTTTCATTTGTATCATTTTGAGTAGTTGAATTATCATTCTCTATAGATTCATCAGTTAACTTTATAAATGGATTATTAAGTTTTGGAGATTGCAATACCGTTTTATTTATAGATGTATTGTTCGCAATTATACCTAATTGCGAAGGCCTCAATATTGTTGATCTTGGCTTATTAGAGAATTCATTGACTCCAAATGAATTCCCAAATTTTGAAGCTGTTAATACAGGACCTGTTGGCATGTGATATATACCCATATGCATATATATACAGCATGCATTTTGTATATATGTACATATAAAGGTACAAGAAATATTTAAATTTTATTATAATAGTTATTTCTATATTTTGACATGAATTAAAAATGAATTAAATGAGTTAAATGTAACCCCCAAGCAAAAACAATATTTAATACATATATATCAAATACAAATGAGAAAATATTAATAATACATATATAATAATATAAATAGAAATATTCTAATGTTACTTTATGTTCAAATTGAATTTTATTTATTATTTTCAATATTATGTTTTCAACTTACAGTGTATTTTAACAGTAGATTTGGTGGACACAGATTCCTCTGTATTATTTTCTACAGACTGACCTTCCATATCTTCTGCAACAGTTAAAAAAAAAAGCAGAAACTATATTCTATTAGAAAATGTAATTGTTTAATTGTGAAAAATTCAGTTTGTATAAAATTTCTATATGTAAACTTTTCGAAAAATTTGTAATTATAAAGTCAATTAAAACAAAGCTATTTGGTTTACATTATAGAATCTTCATATAGTTATTTTATGAAGTATAAAGCAATCTGCTTCAGATAATTAATACTATTTAATATTATATTCTTTTTTAAATATAATATATAATAATTTAAATATAGATGTGATATATATTAAAACAATTAATAAAAAGAAATTTTACCACAAAGCTGCCAAGTATTACTTTAAACGTAATTACAATAAAGAATATAATAACTTCGAAATGTTTCTTCACTACATTAATTTATAGATACAATATATCACACTATTGAAATATTTAATATAATCATATATATTGACTGCATAGTATAAATTTATTATCAAACGTGAAGTTCCAACGCAACCTCACACTCCGCCATTTTTCACATACAAATGGGAAAGTATATTGAAGGGACCTATATATGTCTATATATGTATGGGCGAATTTTAATTCAAAAGATGTTTCCAACAATTCAACTATACGTGTAAAATGTGATTATAATTAAATATAATCGTAACGATTATTACTAAAATATATATTGTGCAAATTCTGAATATGAATTACACAAACTTTTTGATCCACCTGAACATTACATTAAATCGGAAATAAATATGAACTTATCAAATAATAGATATGAATATATGAAATCATAAAATTAATTTATAGAATTACATACACGATTTTATATTTCAGGTATAATATTTACACATTTAAATTAATTTCAATAAAAATTATATTACTCATACCTCTAAGTTGGATACCACTGCATATTTATGAGTATGTCAGAATTATTATTGGTGTACTGTTTGATCATTACAAAATTGGACCAATCAAAATTGAGATTAAAAACTGTTGAGCAAATAAAATTATTGTCTTAGACTTGTCCTGTTAAACATTATTTTGTACAATAATTTTATTTTATATAAAATTGTCGCTACTTAAATATATCACTATTTTTTAAATCGTTACTTAATTTTCGTTAAGAAAGTGAAGTATGTTAATACGTACATTAATTGTTTACTAAAAGTTTGATTTATATTTCACGATACATGTTTTACAATTATGTTTTTAACAAATGCGATTTGAACAATCTTTATTATTATGAAAATCAATTTTATACTTGATATAAATCTTTCAAAAGAAAAAAAAAAACGACAAAAATTCAAATGTAGGGAATTTTACTAAGAATTATATGAGGTAAAAAATATAAATGCAAATAAAAACAAAAAAATATAAATAATTGAGAAAAGAAACGAAAACAATATAAAAAGTAGAAAGATCTTAATTATACGATTAATTTCGTTTTCTTTGCTTCGAAATACCTGTGTTATATGATATAGCTTGACTTTCATGCATAAACTGTTAATACATCGAAACTTTAAATTTATCTTATTGAGAGCTTCGACAAGAGTTAACATAGGAGTCGCTAATAGTCTTGTAAACGGAAATCATCAGAAAGCATCCAACATATGGTACCGTAAGCAAGATAAGAGGTAGTATTTCTTCTAAGTCGATTCTTTTAGATTGAAGAGAAAGTAAAAGAGTGTAGCAATCCAACTGGAAATTTTGGATACAAGTTAAAAATCATGTCGCATCAAACGGGTATAAAAGGTGATTAGAAATAAAGATTTAAACAACATACGATATTTCAAAGAAGTTAGAATTTTATAATTTATAATTGTTTAACCTTAGATTTATAGCTTAATAAATATATTCTAGAATGGTTATTTTTTTTGTAGCAAACGATGCCTTGAAAAAAATTTTTTCTAAATGCAGAGATGGAAAAATACGTGTATTAAAAGTGTCTATAGAAAACGGTATGTGTATGTTATTTCATACATTTTTATTAATAATTTCTTATTTAATTTATAATATATTAGATGCGTTTATGATATTTTATTTATTTGTTCTAAGTAATGTGGTAAAAATCCTTATTGTTATTATGGCATGAAATTTGACACGTGATATGAATGATCTAAAGTGGAAAGTTGTATGTTGAATATAGATATTACTTTTGACATGCTTTATACTGATCATAATTAATATTATTTTATAGAAGAATTAGTTCCTGCAACTTTTAATAAGCCTGCAAATAAATGGCATGATGATTATGATAAAATGATTAAACCTTTAATTCTTGAAAATCAACCTGCATATATTCTTTATCGACTTGATACAAAATCTACAGATTCTGGTTATGATTGGTTGTTTATATCTTGGTCACCTGACACAGCTCCAGTAAGACAAAAAATGTTATATGCATCCACAAAAGCTACTTTGAAACAAGAATTTGGTACCTCATGTATTAAAGAAGAATTACATGGAACTGTTCCTGAAGATATTACATTAGAAGGTTATCATAAACATAAAAAAAATAATGCAG